GAAGCTGAGAGCAGAGGGGACGTGCTGAATCCGGTTGAAAACCTTTCAAAATTAAAATAAAAACACTAACCCTTAATTTCCTTACCTTTCCTACCTTTACCCTTGCCAACAACCTAAGTGAAGTGCCAGCAAATCGTTAGTTTTAACATCAGAACTGACGTTTTACTGTTTATATATAGGTAATCTAAGTTTTAATGTGAAAGAAATTCGGACGCGAGTTTTACCTCATTTTAACTTAGACGCTTGTTATAAATAACTCACAATCAGGTGTAATTTATGATTTTGTTCAATTTGTGTAAATAAATGATTGCATAATCTTTTATGAATCAACTTGAAACAGTCTGAGTTCCCTCATTGTGTCACTTCACTTTGCACAGACCAATATTAGAGTAATGAGGAAAACCTTGGTAAACATTTACTCTCATAACTTAGTTATGGGAAGATGTAAGGTGAGCTATTTGCATAAGTAACTCATCCCTTACAAATGGTGGCACCGTACGAGTCCCATTCATGAATGGTGAACTCCATTTTAAATATTTTTCTCATGAAAAAAGATCTCTGTGCATCGAAAAGTAGTACAAAATATTACTTACTCATGTTGGCAAAAACAATGATGCTAAAAGACCCATTTTATGACTGAGGTGTTCAGATTATCGCAAAGGCTGCAGATTTTGTGGCTATCTGTCATTTTAAGTCGTAATAAGTCTGTAACATTGCTGCTGCTTAAAAATTAAGCATTTCACGGTTTATAAAGGTAATGACGTCACTTCCTGAGAAAGAAAATATATACTCCGCTCTTATAAATAGCGAAACGCTATTTTATCGATAAGATCTAATCTGTGAACACAGTTTTCATCTTATTTTCGTATTTCTGCTAACATTTATGAGTGTAAGCACTCATAAATTAATAAAAGGAATACAGGGAAGAGTTTGAGTGTAACACAGGCTAACAAAGTTAGCTCCAACCACTTCCGGGACAAAAAAAACCGAACGGTACGTCTCGATAAACGGCGAAAAAAGTCGTTTCGGCGCCTTCAGCGACCGATTAAACTGCGAACTGTTGTTTGATAAGCTCCAGAGAATTTTGGGTGAGTTCAAACGCTGTTTCGTGCAGTTTTTAACCCCGAGCCGCTAAGACGGATGGATTTTTAAGTTGAACACGGAACTTCCGGTTCAACCCGTCAGCTTAATGCTAAGCTGTATCGCTGGCATAGTGAAAAGCTAACGCTAGTTGATTTTGAAACGCGGTGTTTTAAAACTATGTGTTTAAAACTGTGAATGTATATTCAGTACGTGTTTCTTTAGTGTCATTTGTTTCATTTGATAACTTTTGCACTATAAAAAACGGACAGCCGTTTTTATTCTGAAGGAGCGCTTGGAAGGCGGGATTTCCTGTTAGATGCTCCATCATTGGACAGGGCACACGGTGCTGCTGTCACTCAAAGGTGTTCAAGGCTGAGGCGTTTTGCTTTGCAACGGTGACATCTGCTGGTTGATTTAAGGTATTACACTCCTAGTGCCATTTTCACCAAAAACACATCTTTTCTCATTTTTTCAGCCAAAGATCGAATAAAACACCGTTAATAAACTCTGTTTATTCAAAATAAAATAAAGCTTAAATCATCAATAAAGCATTCAATAAAACCAATTTCAATTTAAAAAAGGGTTTATTTCTACAAAAATCCTATATGAACAGGTTCAACTTTATTACAGTCAATCTGTCCTTACAGTATTTCACAGTGTCTGGGATTTCATAATGCAAGATCTTGAGGGATTATTTTGTGAGACTGGGCTGGTCCTAATTTCATAGGGTGGTCTCTTACATATAATGGTGGAGAATGCGGGCATTGTGCTAATCTTGGAGTGGTGAAATATTGGTTCTGTTCATGAATTAAAAAAAATTAATTATTAATTTTTCCCACATCGGCATGAAGGGTTTTTTAAGAAATACGGCTTTGCTTGTGTGTTCAGAATTCAGTTCCAAGTACTGCAGACTTTGGTTCTGTTAAAATCTGTTTATCCTGGCAAATGTGCGTNGACCCATGCCCTTGATATTCCAGCTAATGAAACGAAGAGAAGTACCTGGTCGTGCCATACCGGAGTCTACAGCYGTATTAATCATTTAACAAAATAAAAACAACCATAAAGAGCTGAGATGGTCCTCCCCGCWACCCATGCCCAAAAATAAACCCATAACAAAACAACACCCAAAGTCTCCATAAAAAACAGAACAATGGAGACAGCAGTGTTACACACGGCAGTTATTCACAATAAAATGTGAACACGGAGATAAAGCAGAGCGAAAAAGCCCGGAAGTGTATTTAACAAAAACRGGCTAATAGCCCCCACCAACCTCCAAATTGGAACATTAGTATGTGCATTATTATGCTACTTTATGATTATATTGCAACAAGGTTGGAAACRGCGTAGTCCCCACTTAATGGAGAAAAAATACTACAAAACAATATCAGTATAGATGCASACGAGCATTATTAATTTCTAAACTGAACAGGATATAACCAAAGCTTTAATTTCCCAGTGATGTATCTGAGCCTCAGGTCTAAATAAGTTAAGAACTATATATTCACCCAAACAATCTGTGACCCAGGCTCATTAAGAGCGAGTCGGGTTCACTCAGAAATCAGAGTCTGAACGTATTGCTTTGCGTCCTCAGATGCAATAAACTCKTTTACAACTCCATTGTAAGTAATGCGCAGCTTCGCTGGGTAGAAAAGTCCGTACCTGATGTCTTCGATGCCACGAAGTAGCCGCTTCACCTCATTGAAGGCTGCTTGGGCCCGGGCGACCTTAGCAGTGTGATCCGGAAAAATCGATATGGTCGCGGCTCCGACTTTAATCCGCTGGCGCTCCCTGGCACGACGTAAAATGTCCAGACAGTCACTGTAGTAATGAAGCCTGCACACAATTACTCGAGGTCGTTCGCCTGGTTTGGGTTTGGGTTGAAGAGAGCGATGAGACCGGTCCACCAGCGGTTCCTTTTCCAGCCCGAGCGCTTCCTTCAGCAGRGCAGCCACAGCGGTGGGTGAGCAGGAGCCAGCYGCCTCCTCCACGCCGATGATCCTGATATTGTTGCGGCGCGATCTTGACTCTAAGTCCTCACACTTGTCTTCCAARATGGTGACCTTAGCCGTAAGCCGCTCCAGTGTAGTTTTCATACTGGTAATGTCGTCAGTGCACCCTGTGAGCGCCTCCTCCACATCCCCCACCGTAGCCGTTAGCTTAACCAGTTTAGCATCAGTAGCGGCATGGTCACTTGCTAGCTGCGTTTTCACAGCCTGTACCTCAGCTTTAATGGATGATAACGCATCTCCAAGAACCTCTTGAAGTTCCTTCTTAATYATGCCAGCGATATCTTCTTTCAAAGATGCCAGTAGTTCAAGCTTGAGGGTATCGGCAACCGGGTTCATCTGAGTCGGAGCGGTCACAGCACATGGGTCTGGCGGCGAAGAAGCCGAGGCCTGCGAGCATGACTTAAGCTGCGTCTGAATAGTACGAGATTTTCCCCTTCCCGACATTGTTGGTGCAAATAAAAAGTATATACGTGGGACCAAAGTGCAAGACAATCGACAGAGACTTTGTTTACAAAGAAAAGCACAGTTGAATAAGTATTATAAACGAAATTGGCAGGAGCTACCACAAACCACGTCCTACTCCATAGACCGCTCCGCAGCGCCCCCCCTAAATATTTGTTTTTAAACTTTATTTCTCTTTTGTAGAAAATCAGAACCATGACATTTTAGACGTTTGCTTGAATCGTGATCTTTAAAAAGTAGTTTTTTATTTTCTGTCAATCTGTATGTGAATTTGTTTTATTGGTGATTGTATAGATTAATCAGACATAAAA